CGGTGGCGGGCGGGGGCAGCGCAGCAGCCCCCCGCAGAGGGCCTGCTTCTGCTCTGGCCTGTGGTCCCTGGCAGGGCGTTAGCGCGGAAAGCGGAGCAGGGGCAGCGGCGCGGTGGGGCCGGGGGAGGCAGGAGCGGACAGCCAGGGAGAACGGGTGGGTGATGGGGCTGCAAGGGGCTGAGGAGCAGACAGGAGGGGCTGGTGACTGTGGCGCTCAGAGCAGAGGAGCTCCAGGAGGGCACGGGCGTGTGGGAGGCGGGAGGTGGGGGGTGGGGGGTGGGAGGGAGGGGGCAGGCGGCCCGTGGTAGCCTTGCTCGGGCAGGACAGAGAAGAGGCCAAGACGGCGCCCCCTGCGCCAGTGGCCCGCCCAGGCCTCGGCTCTCCTGGAGGAAGCTGACCCCCTCCGCTGCCCCCAGGAACCTCAGGCACAAGCGGGGCTTCTTCGCCCGTGGTAACGCGTTCAACTGGCACCAGCGGCCCCACGGAAGCGAACCCCACCACCAGCTCGGTGCCCGGTGAGTGGCAGCGTGCTGGCTGTACGCTGGCCTGAGCCTGAGGCCCGCACCCCCTGTGCCCCTGCCTGGGGAGCGGGCCCTCAGTCTCCTTCCTGGCCAGGCCCCGGAGAGGGGCAGGGCCGGGGACACTGGGGAATCGGGACTTTTTTTCCGTCCTCTCCGGTCAGCTCCAGAGTAGGGGCGGCAAGGGCGGGGCCGATCCGCACCCCCAGCCCTGGTGCCAACCTGCTGTGTCTTGCAGGGACCACGGCAGGGCCTGGCACCTCCAGTGCGGCCAGCACAGCATCCACAGCGCCACCCGCCACAACTTCTGCTGCCACGCCCACAGGTGAGTTGAGCTGGCGGGACAGGTCCTCCTCTTTGTGGCTGAGATGCCCAGCGTGAGAGCCCGGCAGGAGAGGGCCAGCCCCCCTGGCTCGGGATGCGCGCCGCGTGCAATCAGTTCCCAAGGAAGTGCCAGCCCGGCTGCGAGGGTGTGCGAGCCAGGAGGAGCCCCGGGCTCCCTCTCGCCAGGCACGCCGGAACCACTCCACAGGCGCCACCACACTGCCCCAGACCTGCTTTAGAAGCTAAGCTGCGGCACGAGGAGTGTGTGCCAGGGGAGCCCAGCATGCTGGGGGCTCCCGGGCAATACTCCCGCGGCCCCGCCAAAGGCCGAGCACGGCAGTGTCCAGGGTGATGTGGTGCGCCGGCGAGGGCCACGGGAGCCCTAGAGCTCCAGCGGTGGGGGCTCCAGCTCTGCAGCTCTGGCCTTGGCCCAGTGGTGACGGGGGAAGCGCAGTACCCTGCGGCACCTGACCTACTGGTGCTCAGGGTGGCGGTCCCTGGCAGGGTGTGGGCGCGGGCCCACGGAGGTGGGCAGCCACGCGGTGGGAAGGCAGGAGTGGACAGTCAGGGAGAATGGACGTGCGCCGCGGCTAGGGGGCTGAAGAGCAGACGGGAGCAGCTGGCACAGTGGATCTCAGGGCAGAGGGGCTCAAGGAGGACATGGGCGCAGGGCAGGTGGGCTGCAGAAACACCTGGCTGGTGAGGCCAGCCAAGCGGGCGGCCCGGGGTAGCCGTGCCGTGCCTGGGCGGGACAGAGGCGAGGCCCAGGCGGCGTCCGGTGCGCGAGAGGCCGGCCGAGGCCTCAGCGGTCCTGGAGCAAGTTGAAGCCCTCTGCTCCCCCGCAGGTACATCTGGCACCAGCCGGGCTTCCTCGCCCGGGACATCGCGTTCGCCTGGCACTAGCGCTAGCCCCGCACCCAGAGTCCACAACGCCACCTCGAGTGCCGGTGAGTGGCAGCGGGCTGGCTGCACCCCGGCCGGGGACTGCGGCCCGCGCCGCCTGTGCCCGGGCCTGGGGTGCGGGGCCCGAGGTCTCCCGCCTGGCCAGGCCGGGCTGCGGGGCAGGCCCGGGGAGGCGGTGGGGCATCGGGCCTTTGCCCTTCCTCTCCCGCGATCTCCCGGGTAGGGGCGGCAAGGGCCGGGTCGCCGCGCACCCCCGGCCCTGCCGCCAACCTGCTGTCTCTTGCAGCGACCACGGCAGCGCCGGGCACCCCCAGCACGGCCAGCCCCCCATCCACAGCGGCACCTGGCACACCTCCTGCCCCCACGCCCACAGGTGAGCTGAGCTGCAGGCACAGGTCCTCCTCTCTGGCGCCGCAGCGCCCAGCCCGAGAGCCTGGCAGGACAGGGCACGCCCTCTCGCGGGCAAATCAGCGTGGAATCAGGTCCCAGGGCACTGCCAACCCCGAAGAGGGGCCCACCTGCCAGGGCCTCCCAGCCAGGAGGGGCCGGGGTCACAGGCCACCCGCCCTCATCCCGGCCCCGTCCTGGAGACAGCTGCGGGACGGGACGAGGGCTGTGTGCCTCGGCAGGGCCGCCTGCCGGGGATGCCCGGGCCGCGCTTTGCGGGCCGCAAAAGGGCCTCCCCGGGCAGCGTCCAGGGTGATCCGGTGCATGCCCGCGGGCCTGCGGCTAGTCCCACCGGAAACCTGGAGCGCCAGCAGTGGGGGCTACCTGCGGCTCTGCAGCCCTGGCTTTGGCCCGGTGGCGGGCGGGGGCAGCGCAGCAGCCCCCCGCAGAGGGCCTGCTTCTGCTCTGGCCTGTGGTCCCTGGCAGGGCGTTAGCGTGGACAGCGGAGCAGGGGCAGCGGCGCGGTGGGGGCGGGGGAGGCAGGAGCGGACAGCCAGGGAGAACGGGTGGGTGATGGGGCTGGAAGGGGCTGAGGAGCAGACAGGAGGGGCTGGTGACTGTGGCGCTCAGAGCAGAGGAGCTCCAGGAGGGCACGGGCGTGTGGGAGGCGGGAGGTGGGGGGTGGGGGGTGGGAGGGAGGGGGCAGGCGGCCCGTGGTAGCCTTGCTCGGGCAGGACAGAGAAGAGGCCAAGGCGGCGCCCCCTGCGCCAGTGGCCCGCCCAGGCCTCGGCTCTCCTGGAGGAAGCTGACCCCCTCCGCTGCCCCCAGGAACCTCAGGCACAAGCGGGGCTTCTTCGCCCGTGGTAACGCGTTCAACTGGCACCACCGGCCCGACGGATGCGAACCCCACCACCAGCTCGGTGCCCGGTGAGTGGCAGCGTGCTGGCTGTACGCTGGCCTGAGCCTGAGGCCCGCACCGCCTGTGCCCCTGCCTGGGGAGCGGGCCCTCAGTCTCCTTCCTGGCCAGGCCCCGGAGAGGGGCAGGGCCGGGGACACTGGGGAATCGGGACTTTTTTTCCGTCCTCTCCGGTCAGCTCCAGAGTAGGGGCGGCAAGGGCGGGGCCGATCCGCACCCCCAGCCCTGGTGCCAACCTGCTGTGTCTTGCAGGGACCACGGCAGGGCCTGGCACCTCCAGTGCGGCCAGCACAGCATCCACAGCGCCACCCGCCACAACTTCTGCTGCCACGCCCACAGGTGAGTTGAGCTGGCGGGACAGGTCCTCCTCTTTGTGGCTGAGATGCCCAGCGTGAGAGCCCGGCAGGAGAGGGCCAGCCCCCCTGGCTCGGGATGCGCGCCGCGTGCAATCAGTTCCCAAGGAAGTGCCAGCCCGGCTGCGAGGGTGTGCGAGCCAGGAGGAGCCCCGGGCTCCCTCTCGCCAGGCACGCCGGAACCACTCCACAGGCGCCACCACACTGCCCCAGACCTGCTTTAGAAGCTAAGCTGTGGCACGAGGAGTGTGTGCCAGGGGAGCCCAGCATGCTGGGGGCTCCCGGGCAATATTCCCGCGGCCCCGCCAAAGGCCTAGCACGGCAGTGTCCAGGGTGATGTGGTGCGCCGGCGAGGGCCACGGGAGCCCTAGAGCTCCAGCGGTGGGGGCTCCAGCTCTGCAGCTCTGGCCTTGGCCCGGTGGTGACGGGGGAAGCGCAGTACCCTGCGGCACCTGACCTACTGGTGCTCAGGGTGGCGGTCCCTGGCAGGGTGTGGGCGCGGGCCCACGGAGGTGGGCAGCCACGCGGTGGGAAGGCAGGAGTGGACAGTCAGGGAGAATGGACGTGCGCCGCGGCTAGGGGGCTGAAGAGCAGACGGGAGCAGCTGGCACAGTGGATCTCAGGGCAGAGGGGCTCAAGGAGGACATGGGCGCAGGGCAGGTGGGCTGCAGAAACACCTGGCTGGTGAGGCCAGCCAAGCGGGCGGCCCGGGGTAGCCGTGCCGTGCCTGGGCGGGACAGAGGCGAGGCCCAGGCGGCGTCCAGTGCGCGAGAGGCCGGCCGAGGCCTCAGCGGTCCTGGAGCAAGTTGAAGCCCTCTGCTCCCCCGCAGGTACATCTGGCACCAGCCGGGCTTCCTCGCCCGGGACATCGCGTTCGCCTGGCACTAGCGCTAGCCCCGCACCCAGAGTCCACAACGCCACCTCGAGTGCCGGTGAGTGGCAGCGGGCTGGCTGCACCCCGGCCAGGGACTGCGGCCCGCGCCGCCTGTGCCCGGGCCTGGGGTGCGGGGCCCGAGGTCTCCCGCCTGGCCAGGCCGGGCTGCGGGGCAGGCCCGGGGAGGCGGTGGGGCATCGGGCCTTTGCCCTTACTCTCCCGCGATCTCCCGGGTAGGGGCGGCAAGGGCCGGGTCGCCGCGCACCCCCGGCCCTGCCGCCAACCTGCTGTCTCTTGCAGCGACCACGGCAGCGCCGGGCACCCCCAGCACGGCCAGCCCCCCATCCACAGCGGCACCTGGCACACCTCCTGCCCCCACGCCCACAGGTGAGCTGAGCTGCAGGCACAGGTCCTCCTCTCTGGCGCCGCAGCGCCCAGCCCGAGAGCCTGGCAGGACAGGGCACGCCCTCTCGCGGGCAAATCAGCGTGGAATCAGGTCCCAGGGCACTGCCAACCCCGAAGAGGCGCCCAGCTGCCAGGGCCTCCCAGCCAGGAGGGGCCGGGGTCACAGGCCACCCGCCCTCATCCAGGCCCCGTCCTGGAGACAGCTGCGGGACGGGACGAGGGCTGTGTGCCTCGGCAGGGCCGCCTGCCGGGGATGCCCGGGCCGCGCTTTGCGGGCCGCAAAAGGGCCTCCCCGGGCAGCGTCCAGGGTGATCCGGTGCATGCCCGCGGGCCTGCGGCTAGTCCCACCGGAAACCTGGAGCGCCAGCAGTGGGGGCTACCTGCGGCTCTGCAGCCCTGGCTTTGGCCCGGTGGCGGGCGGGGGCAGCGCAGCAGCCCCCCGCACAGGGCCTGCTTCTGCTCTGGCCTGTGGTCCCTGGCAGGGCGTTAGCGCGGACAGCGGAGCAGGGGCAGCGGCGCGGTGGGGGCGGGGGAGGCAGGAGCGGACAGCCAGGGAGAACGGGTGGGTGATGGGGCTGCAAGGGGCTGAGGAGCAGACAGGAGGGGCTGGTGACTGTGGCGCTCAGAGCAGAGGAGCTCCAGGAGGGCACGGGCGTGTGGGAGGCGGGAGGTGGGGGGTGGGGGGTGGGAGGGAGGGGGCAGGCGGCCCGTGGTAGCCTTGCTCGGGCAGGACAGAGAAGAGGCCAAGACGGCGCCCCCTGCGCCAGTGGCCCGCCCAGGCCTCGGCTCTCCTGGAGGAAGCTGACCCCCTCCGCTGCCCCCAGGAACCTCAGGCACAAGCGGGCCTTCTTCGCCCGTGGTAACGCGTTCAACTGGCACCAGCGGCCCCACGGAAGCGAACCCCACCACCAGCTCGGTGCCCGGTGAGTGGCAGCGTGCTGGCTGTAAGCTGGCCTGAGCCTGAGGCCCGCACCGCCTGTGCCCCTGCCTGGGGAGCGGGCCCTCAGTCTCCTTCCTGGCCAGGCCCCGGAGAGGGGCAGGGCCGGGGACACTGGGGAATCGGGACTTTTTTTCCGTCCTCTCCGGTCAGCTCCAGAGTAGGGGCGGCAAGGGCGGGGCCGATCCGCACCCCCAGCCCTGGTGCCAACCTGCTGTGTCTTGCAGGGACCACGGCAGGGCCTGGCACCTCCAGTGCGGCCAGCACAGCATCCACAGCGCCACCCGCCACAACTTCTGCTGCCACGCCCACAGGTGAGTTGAGCTGGCGGGACAGGTCCTCCTCTTTGTGGCTGAGATGCCCAGCGTGAGAGCCCGGCAGGAGAGGGCCAGCCCCCCTGGCTCGGGATGCGCGCCGCGTGCAATCAGTTCCCAAGGAAGTGCCAGCCCGGCTGCGAGGGTGTGCCAGCCAGGAGGAGCCCCGGGCTCCCTCTCGCCAGGCACGCCGGAACCACTCCACAGGCGCCACCACACTGCCCCAGACCTGCTTTAGAAGCTAAGCTGCGGCACGAGGAGTGTGTGCCAGGGGAGCCCAGCATGCTGGGGGCTCCCGGGCAATACTCCCGCGGCCCCGCTAAAGGCCGAGCACGGCAGTGTCCAGGGTGATGTGGTGCGCCGGCGAGGGCCACGGGAGCCCTAGAGCTCCAGCGGTGGGGGCTCCAGCTCTGCAGCTCTGGCCTTGGCCCGGTGGTGGCGGGGGAAGCGCAGTACCCTGTGGCACCTGACCTACTGGTGCTCAGGGTGGCGGTCCCTGGCAGGGTGTGGGCGCGGGCCCACGGAGGTGGGCAGCCACGCGGTGGGAAGGCAGGAGTGGACAGTCAGGGAGAATGGGCGTGCGCCGCGGCTAGGGGGCTGAAGAGCAGACGGGAGCAGCTGGCACAATGGATCTCAGGGCAGAGGGGCTCAAGGAGGACATGGGCACAGGGCAGGTGGGCTGCAGAAACACCTGGCTGGTGAGGCCAGCCAAGCGGGCGGCCCGGGGTAGCCGTGCCGTGCCCGGGCGGGACAGAGAAGAGGCCCAAGTGGCGTCCCTTGGGCCAGTAGCCGGCATAGGCCTTGGCTCTCCTGAATGAAGCTGACCCCCCTCCTGTTCCCCCAGGAATGTTAGGCACATGTGGGTTTATAGTGGTGTGAGGTGAAGAAACAGCCTGGGAGCCTGGCAGGGGATGGCATGTCCCGCACCTAGGGTTCTTCTGTAGGTCTGAGCAATCCACAAGGCACTGCCCTCTCCATAGTGGGCCAGGTTCATGACTGTTTTCACTATGAGTAGCCTTTTTCTCCCTCTTCCCTTTTCCTTGCCCTTCCTTGAGATACCTGTTGAAAAAACGTGTCTATCATGGAAGGCCATCTTCCTCGGGATTCTTGGTCTATTCTTTCCAGCCTTGTCAAGGGCACATGTGTCAGTGGCTGGATTGTACATTTGGAATCTAAGTATGTCTCCCCTTTGTATTTTAATTAGAAGCGCTTTTGTAATGAAAGTTTCTGTGATTCTGAAATGTGATGATAGATTTAGTGGCAGGTAACTGAGTACTTGACTTATTTTTCTTCGTAGGTTCCGTCTTCTTAGCTGTACCTTAAAAATATATGAAGTATAAGTTATAGTTTAAATTGCTGCAAAAAATTGCCTGCAAAGTAATTTTAAATATAAATAGTAATAAAATATTATATAATTAGGAGGAAAGGAATTTAAAAAGTCAACAGTAATCAAAAATTAAATGATTACTAAATTCCAGGATCCTTCCTTTGAGTTGGCAATGTAAGTACTTAGCGGCCATGGTGGCTCACACCTCTAAATTCCAGCACTGGGGATGTTAATGCAGGAGGATCACTGGGATTTCGAGAGCAGCCTGGGTACAAAGTGAGCTCAAGGCCAGCTTCAAGTGCATAGTGAGACACTGTCTCAAAAAGACAAAAAAAAAAAAAAAAAAGTAAGTATTCTTAGTATGTTATCCCAAACTCATGGACACATTGCTCCTGAAAAAATTATTAATAATGTACACCTGCAAGTGCTGTTGAGTGAAAGTGGGAGATTTGTGATTTCTATAGTTAGACACCAAAGAAGTATTCAAAGAGTTGATGTGTGCAGTCACAGTGTCAAAGATGAATGGCACAATTAGTGTACATTTACCAAATTTGGCTCATTTGGAAAAGTTCATTATTATACTGATTTATATAACAATATATGATTAAAACATTTATTCCTCCAATGATTATTAATAGAGTGATGCAATAACAATAGAAGTTTCTTTTCTTACTTTTAGGATTAATTTTTGCTGATTCTTTATTCCAAAAATTGTTAATTCACGAATATTAAATTATTACCCAGGATTTCTCACTAAGAAGTATGGTTAAAGGTATCCATGTAATTTAGTGAGGAGAAACTTTTAAAAAGAAAATGCAAACTAAAGAATGTTTAAAAATAGTACAACTAAAAAAAATTAACTGTCCCATAATTGTAGATGATACAGGTAAGGAGCTTATATAAATATTGTTAACATTAGGGAAGAGATTGACAAAAACCTATGTATTTTCTTGATTCTGAAGTACCACCCAGCTTCTTTCAGAATAGAAAGATATTTGGCATTGGAGACCTCTGGTTGTCAACACCTAAGCCTAGAGATGAAACGGTATCACTGATCATTAGGGTTTCCTATATCATTTGAGATACATTACCAAGAAAATATTCCTACTCCAAGTGATGTACCTGACTCTTATTCAAGCTCTTATATCCCTTTCTGTATCATTCTAAATTTATCTGATTTTTTTTGCAATGTCAATTATCAGTCTTTTCTTCTCTGGTTGTCCTACAAACTGAAGATATGTATACAAACATAATTGAACTTCAAACTTAATCTCTTAAATATTTTAAAATTGAATTTATACTAGTGAAGTAGGGAAATCTACATTATTAATATTCTCAGTGAGTAGGTTTTATGCACAATTAAGTTTAAGAATTACTACAGTATAATATACTAGAGCCAAGATTATAGTTAGAACTTTAGTGAAGAATACTGACTTGGTAATTGGGTGAAGTTAGGAAATAACTACAATATTTCCACTAGAGGAAAGAAGATGGACTTGGATGGTAATGTAAAAAAGTAATGTATGCTTTATACAGTTATTCCTATGATAGAATAAGGGTCATCAGCAAAAGTGACAGGAACTGCAAGACAGTCATCACTAGTGACCAGGACACCATCTGCAGAGACAGGCCTCAACTGAAGGGTCAATAACAGCAGGACATCTGGAAAAACTTCACCATCAGCTGGAATGACTGGTCATGACAGACAGGCAAAACTAAATAGTCAGTCGCATGGCAGAGACCAGTGGCCCATCAGGTAGAGTGAAAGGAACAACTGGTCCGTGCCAGGTGGACCAGGTACAAGTGTGTTATAACTCTACATTTCCAGTAGGGCAGAAAGAACTACAAGAGAGCAGAAAGTAACGTTATAGTACCTGAAGGCTAGTTAGTTAACTAAAGATAAAGCATGAAATATATGTAATTTTTGGTCAGAATCCCAGTACTTGAGTCTGTATAAATTTATCATGAATAGGGCATTAAAAACAGATTGGTGAATAATGATGGCAGATCTCCAGAATGTTGTTTTAAATTTATTTTTCTTAATTCTTGAAGTTTATTTTCACCAGGCTCAAACAACAACTACAACAACAAACATCCCTCCAAACCAGAAATGGTTATAACCAGATGATGGAGGAGAGGTTTCCCCGTAGGTACTTGGAGAGGAAGCATCATAGGAGCCCTAGGCACTGGGACAACTGCCTTTGTGGACAAAGCAGACAGGATTTAGATCAGGTGTCATAAGAATGGCCAGACACGAACATGGCCAAGACCCAAATTATGATGATAAGATTAAGTAATTTAGCCAAGAACATACATTTTGAGAGAAATTACTAAGAGATGATCTAGATTTATCAACATCTGATTTTTTAATTTACTTAAACTACAGGAAGAATTTTTACCAAAGTTATGCATGTGAAAAGAGTATCAATTACTCCGATCAAACCATATGGATCCACCCCTGGGGGGAGGTGGCAATGTGATCCCATTAACCGCTCCTAGAAAATCAGGCAAGTGAGAAGGGAAACCGTTGGCTGTTGTATAACATGAGCAGTTTTATGATAAATCCAGTAATGATAACAAGTGTTTTGTAAGAAGGGAAATCAGAATATCAAATCCAGATGATCTCATATTAGTGTTTTATATTTGATTAGATTGTTTAGGACTTACTGGGTGTGCATATATTCTTTTGGCATAGTGATTTAAATTCCTTAGGAAAGATATCAAAAAAAGGAATTTCTGGGTCAAATGGAACCTCTTATCTTTGAGGAATCTCTAGTTTTTGAGGAATCCACACTGATTGGGTCAGTCTGCATTCCCACCAACAGTGAGGAAAGGATTCATTTTTGCTTGCTGCCAACTGTTATTAATTGATTTCTTGATAATAGCCATTCTTTCAAGAGTGAGATGGAATCTCAGCATTGTTTTAACTTGTATCTCTCAAATGACCAGTGGTATTGAACACTTTTTCATACATTTATTTACCATTTCTGCTTCTTCATCTGAGAATGTCTATTCATTTCAGATGCCTATTTTTGGATTGGGTTTTTAAATTCGGGGGAGGTCTAATTATTTTAGATATTTTAGATATAAATCCTTCAAGGACAAGTGGCAAAACTTTTTCCTACTTTTTTAAAAAATTTTGTCTTTGTGAGACAGGGTCTCACTATGCAACTCAGGCTGGCCTTGAGTTCACTTTGTAGCACAGGCTGGTCTCAAACTTGCAATGATCCTCCTGCGTCAGCCTCTCAAATGCTGGGATTACAGGTGTGCACCACCATGCCTGGTTCCTACTCTTTTTATGTTGTCTCTTCACCTGTTCTGTTGGTGGTTTCTTTTGCAGTGCAAAGCTTTTCAGTAAGATGAGATCCCAGTTGTTGATTCTTTGTTATATTTCTTGTGCAATCAGTTTATTGTTCATAAAGTCTTTGCTTATGTCTATGTCTTCAAGAGTTCTACCTATTCTCTCTTCCAGCAGAGTTAGTATTTCTGTTTTAATATTCAGATCTTTGATCCATTTTGATTTTAGTGTAGTACATGGTGATAGACATGGTTCTAGGTTTATTTTTTGACATGTGGAAAGCCAGTTTTGCAGCACCATTTATTAAAAAGGCTATCCTCTTTCCAGGGAGAAGGCTGGGCCCTTTGATCATAGAGAAAATGTTTGTGTGTGTGT